AAAAAATAAAGCTGTATTGGGGCCGGCACTGTGGCCTAGTGATTAAGTTTGGTGCATTCCACTTTGGCGGTGTGGGTTCAGTTCCCTGGGCGCAGACCTACACCACTCGTTGGCGGCCATACTGTGGTGGCGACCCCCATACAAAATAGAGGAAGATTGGCACAGATGTTAGCTCAGGGCACATCTTCCTCAAGCAAAACAATCATGTATTGTTGAAAATAATATATTTTCTTTTCCCAATCAGATGCAGTTTGGAAAAAGAATATTATTTTAAAATAACAACAGCTACTAGATATTGAGGGATTACTATGTAGTGGGCACTATGCCAAGTTCCTTCTATGCAACACCTTATTTCTCCCTCACAGCAATGTTATGAGATGATGCTATTATTATCCCCATTATATAGATGAAGGAACTGATGCTCAGGGTGGGGGAATAACTAGATGGAAGGTCTTACATTAATAACACCTTGAAAGAGCTGACTGTCCAGTTGCTCTCCTCCTGGTCTCTCTTAAGGCCACTCCAAGAAGTTCCCCTCCCCACTACTAGGTCAATGTAAGTTAGCAGATCTCATCTATCAGCAGCATTTGTGCAGTTAACCATCTCTTCTCGATGTACTTTCCTCATTCGGCTTTTAGGAGGCCACATTTTCCTGGATTTCCTCCTCCTTTAGCAGATACTCTTTTTAGTCTCCTTTCTTGATTGCTTCTCTTACTGTTGGGATGCACTTGGGCTCAATCCTTGGAACTCCTCTTTTCTCTATACTATACTCACCCTGGTGATCTCACTCAGTCTCCTGGCTACAAAAAGCCTCTATAAGCTAATGGCTTATCTCTCTAACCAGGACATTCCACCTGAACTCCAGATTCCTATATCCAACTGCATACTTGACCTCTCCATGTAGATGTCTAATAGATCCCTCAAACTTATCATGTCTCATCTGGACCCTCTGATCTTTCCCCAAACCTGCCCTATCTACAGTTATCCAGTCTCAATGGACGAAGGATGGCAAATTCCATCCTTCCCAGTTGCAAAGTCTCAAAACCTTGGAGTCAGTCTTGACTCTTCTTTTTCCCTCGCTTCCCACATGCAGTCTGTCAAGAAGTTCTAGTTACTGATTTTCAAAATACATTCAGAATCTGATTTCTCGGCACCTCCACTGCTTCTACCCTGCTTCGAGCCACCATCCTTTCTCACATAAATTGTTGCAACAGCCACCTAACTGGCTTGCCTACTCTCCTTCTTGCCCACTATAGTTTGTTCTCAGCTGCGCTGCCAGAATGATTCTGATAGACTATCTGTCAAACAATAATATTTGTAGCCTCAAAATCTCCCAATGACTCCCATTTTTATTGAGAATAAAAGTGGAAATCCTTGCAATGGCTTACAAGTACTTCTGTCACCTGGCCCCTGTTACTTCTGACTGCACCTCTTTTTACTCTCCCCCTCACTTGCTTCCTCTCCCTCCCACTGGCTTCCTTGCTGGTCCTTGAGCATACCCCGCATGCTTCAGACTTAAAGCCTTTACCCCAGATATTCCCTCTGCTGAGAATGGTCTTCCCCCTTCGGAACTCTTCTATCTTCTCAATGAGGACTCTTTGACTGCCCTATTTACCGTGGACTCTGCTCCCCACATCCCAGCTTAGCACTGCTTAGTTTATTTACATAATCCCCTTCTAAGGTATGTCATCTATGCATTTAAGTTTTTATTAATATTTGTTCCCCCCATCCCCAACAAGATTTTAACCATCAGTGGTTTCAAATACAGCTCTGTGACCAGAACAGACCTGACACATAGCAGATGCCCAGTAAATATTTGTTGAGTAAATAAAAGGGACAGGATCGCAAATCTTAACTTGGGGATCATGCTGATTCTCTAGGGATTGTGTCATAAAACCAACTGTTCTGGTCAGCCTGAATAGCGACAAAACGATGAAAAAGGAAAGTTATCAAACTTAAGTTGTCAAACATAATAAAACCATTTAGAAGAACCAAACTATGTTAGATGAGTGAACTGAGTTGTTAACGTGGTGGCGTCTGCTATGACTTCTCTGACCCCTGCTTCCTGGAGGGTCACGTCCTGGGACAAAAGTAAATCTGTTCTCTGACACTAGCACAACCCTGTCTGTAGTGTCTCAGCTTGATTTTGCTCCTTACCTCATGGGATTATAGAAGTTATTAATAAATATAAATAAGTTGGAACAGTGCCTACAAATAGTAAGAGTATTTTTTGGCTGCCATTATTATTATTGTTTTTGTTATTATTATTATTTCATTGGGGTTCTCAGAAGACATTACCTTAATTCCAAGAAATTACTTTAATGAATGTATTTTGCATATCATGATCAGTTGATGAAGGAGATATTTTAGTAGATGTATGAAAACACCCACCTGTCTTTTTAATCATCTAAACTTAAAGTTTTTGCTTTATGGGTGGGGGAGGAGATGTTGGTGTCAATCAGATGTCTGTTGGAGATTTTCTATAAAGTTTAAAAATGATATTCTGTTCAAAGATATGTCTTGGGTGATATTTAATAGCTCAGCTACAGGAAATAGTATTGCACAGATTTACTTAGGTACTAGTGTTTCAATATGCTCATTACTGCTGTTGTTGCTAATAGTATATCTTTTATTAATGTTACCATTTATGCAGTGCATGCTCTGTCCTAAGTAATTTACCTCTACTATCTCCCTAGTCTTATCACAACCTATGAATTAAGGATTAATTAATATTCTCATTTCTTTGTTCAGACTCACACAGAAGTTAAGATGGTTGCCTCACATATAGCCAGTGATGGAGCTTGGATTGAAATCAGCAGTTTATCCTTAAAGCTTATGCTCTTAACACTATATCATTTTGTGGAGAAGCAGTGAAGAGAGCCACATTTCTCTTCCAAATAAATTAATAAATGTCAGCAGAATGATGCTATGAAAGAATTGTACATATAGGGAAATAAAGATTTACTTTTTAAAAGTCTGAGTATTAAAGATTGATTAATATACTTTCTGAAATGATAAATTTTAAAGGGTAGAAATTGATCAAGTTTCAGTGAAAATGAATATTGAGCTACAAAGAAATAAATGCTAGCTGAATTAAGATAAATGTTTCCTGCCAAAGAGAATTATAATTGACAATTATTTTAAGAGATTTTATACATGTAAATAAGGTAAATCTAGGTACTAAAAGGTCTGGAATGAAAAATATTTCTTTAAAACTTAAAAGTACTTTGAGCACTGAAGTAGTGGGCAGACTCTTAAGTGATAATCAACCACTGATGATTTCTAATAAATACCTAGAAGGAGGAAACTTTTAGAACATGATTTCTGGATAAAAGATCTGTGTGTATGTGTGTATATATATATATATATATATTTTTTTTAATTAAAAGATACCTAGAAATTTATTGATGAATTTAGTAGGGTTTTAATAGGAAGATGGTTTCTTTCTCCTTTTCCTTCCTGCTTAGAAGCTAACAAAGCATTAGGTTATATAAGAAGCCCAAACTAAAGGCGTTAGCGTCTCTACAGTACGCCTGTAAGAAGAGATTGGAAAGTGTAATGTACCACCCGGCAGTCTGAGGACTGAGAGGCCGCAGCAACTGCAGATTTTTGTCTCTCTTGCTGAAGAGGTATCTTTGTAGTCTCTGGAGAAAGCTCAGGTAGCTGTTTGTGGCTTTCAGGATCGTGTCCTGAAGGGGGAGCTATCTGAATGGAAAGAGATGCTGTGTGTATCTCAGGCACTGGGTTAGGGGGAGGTGAGCAAGGCTTTTTGGGAAATGATGGTACGTCAACAGATTTGGAGAACTGTGGAGTATTAAAGGGGATGCCACTTCCTAGGTCTTGGTTATGGATTAGTTTCAATGTAGAAATTCTCCGAGTTTGAGAATCTTGCATGTAATCCTCTTGTAGAAATGGGGTACTGGTATCAGCATTTGGTGGGGAACCAGTGCTTGAAGCTGGCTGTGGATTAGTAATTTTTTGTGTATACGACACAGTTGTGTTAGATTCTTCAGAATATACAATTGTCTGGCTGGAGTCTTCATTAGAATACATAGTTCCCTGAAGAGGCTTTTTGTTAGTAAAGTACTCTGTATAGGAGGGAATTTGTGTGTTAGTTACTAATTGGTCTAAAATGTCACCCTTTGTGTGATTGGTTACCAAGAAACTACAAAAGCTCTCTTTTCTAGGTGTTGAAAGGGGTGCCTGTATTGCCAAGAGCATCCGGAGAAAGAAATAATGTTGAAGGAAAAACAGAGAGAAAGTCAGAGTTAGTCATTCAAGAAACCAGTGTTAACTCTACCTTTAAAGAAAGTAAAGCAATGTCATACCCTCTTATTATGCTACACATTTTGTTGCCTAGATTGAATGATCATTTTTATTCTGTTTAGAATGCATTTTAATTTATTTTCAATAGTTGCCCTCTGGAGGAAAATAGTTTTTATAGAGAATACATTACAAAGTTTGTCTCCATCTACATTGTGGGAAATTATGTTAAAAGTGAACATATGTTCTCTTGGCATATTTTAAGATCTTAAGGTATGTATACATATATATGGCACATTTAGTCATTGTTTCTATAACATTGTTCATATTTGTGGCACAACTTTACTAATATCTCCAACACAGAGCTCCTTTAGTCACTATAATGAGCAGTTGCATAATTCATATTTATCGAGTAAATAATGTATTGCTGACCTCATAACTTTGAAATCTAAATCATCAGCTCACAGCTTTTTAAGAATTAGAATATATCCTAAACACTGTTAGAAGCTGACCTACTTTTACGAGCTGAATCAGATTAAACAAAAGTGTTTTGAACTTAAAACTTCTCTTTCCATGTTGTAAATACAAGTCTGGCAACCAATACAAATACAAAAGCAAAAATATATTAATAATAAAACATGTATCAGAATATGCATGTTATTAGAAAAGAGAGTCTAAAGCAGTGGTCTAATACCACGCTTTGAAATGACATGGTAGACAAGAATGTGTAGGATTACCTGAGTTGGTGATTTTTTTTCTTGTAGGTTTGGTCGAACGCTTCTAAACCCTTTTGCTGCAAGAGAGGAATATGTAGCATCTCCGTTCAGTGTCTCTTGATTTCGATCATTGTAAGATCTCCAAGCTTTTATTAAGGGAAAACAAATTGGATACAAAAATATCTACATTCACTTTTAACATTTTTTTTATAAAATTTATTTTTATTTCCAAAATTGAAGTTTTCCTTTTCAAAATGTAATTTAATTTAATACGCATAACTGTATATGCAATTTAAGTTTGCTGTGAGGTCAACAATGTGGCTTTGAATATGTTAAAAAAAACACAACAAATGTAATGGTTATTTAGAATAGCTTTTCTGTACCTGAGTCTGGTGACTGAGAATCACGCCCTAAAAGAAAAAGAAATGTTGAAATTAATACCAGGGTAAAAGAAATTAACAATCTAGTAAAAATCATTTGGCAAAGAAACACATGCATTTTTTTTTTTGCAAATGTTATCTCAGTTCTAAACTCTGAGTACATCAAATCCACTATTATTTTTTTAATTTTACAATGCATTTATTTTTACTTCAATTAGAATATCACTCATTGACTATAATATATAATTAATCTTTGTGTATCAAACACTGATTTTTCCCCTCAATCATGTTATAACCATGTAATTTTATCTTATTATTGCCCAAACTGGACATATGAATGTCTAAATATTAAATTAAAGGGTCAAAAGGTATCTGGTTTGTAAACAATGAAACTTTCTCCAAGCATTAAATCAAACCACATATCCTTAGCTTTTAATGCCCTGGTGTTACTGATCGTATTTAATTCCTGTGTTTGACAGAGATCAATTTTTTGTAGTTTGCTTTTTTTTAACTTCAAGAAAGTGTAAATGTGCCTGCCATGTTATGTGATACTTTCAAATCATTCTCTAGACTTTGAATTTTCTCCTTATTGCCATTTAAAAGTCATTTTATATTCAAATATGAAAGAGCTATTACAATATATTCCATTGTCTTGCAGTAAGCTGTGGAAAATCAATTTCAGTACTAATAAATTGCTTTTGACAATGCATTTGGAAAGGGGATCAACAAGATATTTACCATCAGTTTTATTAGAATTATACATTCAAGAATCTTCTATAACTTATGCCCGTTTGAGGTAATCAATTTGTATTGCTTGGTTCTATTATACCGGATAGTCAACTTCACCTAGAATCATAAAGCCTTGACTTTGGAAAAGACTTTGGGGGGTCATTCAGCCAGACCTTCTGTCCAGGTCCTGGATTCCTTATATAAGTTCCCCAAGACCATTACTTAATTGCTGTTATTTCAGTACCTAATAGAATATGAATGTGCATGTAAGAAGGACTCAGTTTTCTTTCTAATGCTTAAGGAATAGTTATTTTGAAATCTAAACACGTGATTTTGAAATGATTAAAAAAATGAGTTGATGAATGCAATACTTTGATTTTTAGATAAAATATTTGATATAGATTCTTTCCAAATCAAAGGAAGAAAAATAAATGTGATTCAGCACAGAGTACATTAGGATGACTGCAGCTCAGGTGAGTTAGAGAAGACTAACAAATCTTCAATCTTTATAATTGCTAATTTAGTATGGATTTTATCTCCAATGAATTCAAAATCAGAGTAATAAAATGAGTACCATAAGTAAAAATGACTTTGAAGAGTCATATGTGAAATGTTTACTAGACTCCACTTCTAGGATTTGATGGAAGCAGAAATGATTGAACTTGTCAATCACTTAAATGATGATGAGGATTTTATAAAGAAAACAGACATAGTTTAGCAATACAGAGCAATCATTAGAATTCTGCTTTGGGGCACTGAAGGAGAGAGATTGAATAACCACCCGGGTGCCACATACTGTTTGTGGACAAGGAACAAGTTTTGGGACTTGGGGCAATGGCAATGAAAAGGAAAGCAGCATTAATAATAATTATTATTAATAGGGAGTTTATTTTACTCTTGGTTTAATAAAACTGAGCTCATAAAGAAGGGTGTGGGTATGTGTTGGGGATGGAGGTGACAGGAGCCAGATGCTTGGAGGTGGAAGAGGTGAAGGACACTTGAAATAAACGTCCTGTAATTGACAGTTTGTACAGGGCCAGTTCTGCTTCTTCTCACTGGTGACCACATTGGAGATTATGGGACTGTTGAGTGGGATAAACATTAGGTGCAAGAATCAGAGGATGGTCACTCTAGGCTCAGCTAGGGGCTTCCTCGCTCCCTCCCTACTGGGCCCAGGCATTCCCAAACGAATCTATGCTATAGGAAATATGAGATATTAATAATGGTGACGTCTACTGAAAAACTCTGCTTAACATAGTAAATATAAGTGTGTAGAAATTACAAGAAAGGAGAAAGGATAAAGATGGCCATGGATTAAAACTTCAGGATGAAGTCATATTTTAATGAAGCTTCTTATGTTAATGATTAAAGTCTACTTTTAAATAGGTGGTCTTTTAAGGATATTCAAGTGTACAATATTTCAATTTCTTTAAAATAAATCCAATCATAGATATTTTAAAAACACCCAGTCCTGATTTGCTATGTTATTATAGTGCTTTGGAGGCACTGAAAGATAAATGTGTTCCCACATGGATACTGTTCATCATAGCCTTGCTTTTATTTCATCCCTTTCAGGAAAGCTTAGGAAAGGGAGGATACATGTGGTTTGGAGCAGGTACCAGAAAGCATGAAAGCATCCTGGATCATGTTGAATGAAGAGAACATAGGTTAAAAAAGAAAAAAAAGGTTGAAAAAGTAAACGACATGGCAGATGCATAGGGGAAATGGTTTTGCCCAATATCTTGAACACTATTCATGATCATTCACTTGTGAAAAAACAGAGCTAGAATTCTGGCCATCAGAGCCCTTAATTTCTAGTATTCTTCAGTAGATGGTCATTGCCTCTCTGAAAATTTAATAATGAGTAAATGGGACAGATTTATTGTTCTCTGGTAGTTTTGCATGTGAGTATAAGTAGGGTCTTTGAGAATTAAGAACTCTACTCACGCTTCACTAGTACAGTGAGCACTCCCTGTGTCCAGGCAGAGGTGGTGGACACCTGTCAGAGAAGCTGTCAAGGCATTCCCGGATCCGTGTCAGGATTGGACTGGATGCTTCAGAGGTCCTTTCCAACTTTATGATTTCAACATTATGATTTTTATGTAGCTGTGTTTGTGGTACCTGTTACATCATAATCTCTTATTCTGAGGTTCTATTTAAATTCCTTTTAGCTGATATGCTATATTGGACATATAAACTATACTTCTCTTGAAAATCATGATGATTTTAATTCTTATAGCTCCTTTCTTTAGAGGGCTCAAATTTTTTTAAGAATTAATTTAAATATATTAGTTAAATTCAAGTCAACTAATTGAATGCCTACTGTGTTTCTAAGTACTGTGATAAGACTGTTCATTTATTTTCTTCATTTACCTTCCTTTAATTCTGACAAATCCTTGTGAGTTTGGGAAATGATTAAATTCTCAGAGAGGTAGGAAAATGACAAACAAATCTTTTCTTTTTTGGGAAAGGAAACTTGAGGTACTAACAGACGAATTTTCCTAAGGGTGGAAAACATGTAGGTGGTGTTGGCAGGACCCTGTCTCTTGGCACAGCCGTCTGGTCACCAGGTCATACCACCCTTATCAATGCTACCTTAGACGGCCAAGTGTTTTTGGTAAAATAAATGTACTTCAAAAAGGCTAGTTGTGTCTCTACAGTCATTGATGTGTTCTAGCTTAGGCTGAAAACATCACTGTGTGCTATGAATTGTCCAGTGGGACTTCACTTCTGGTAAAAGGAAAAGAGGAGGACTCATTTAGGGGACAAATAGCTGATGACTAGCAGCTCACACTGACTTTCTGATCTGAGGGTGGAGAGAGGGAGGCTTAGAACCTTGTGTGGAGGTAGTCTTTTACTTAAAGGCTGTTCCATTTTAACAATATCTAATGTAATAAATATTTATTAATCCTCTTTTGATTCACAAAAAGACACTGTGTCAAATAAATTCCTATGAAGGCAACCATATAATGTGATTAGGCATAAAAAGAGGCTGATTTCTTTCTTCAAAATGTAATTAAAACTTCTTTGAAAAAGGGATCATACCTTATGTGTCTAATTAATACAAAAGAGATCTATTTTTAATGTAACAATTAAATCCAAAATTCAAGGGACCTTGTTCACGAGAAATCTTACTCCTAGTGATATAAAATTTAAAATGGTCCAGAGCCAGTACGTATTATTATTGATGAAGATTATTTCATATTCCTAAAGTATTAAATCTTTTCTATTATTTTGATTCTGAAGCGTTAAATATTTTCTATTAAGTTGAGTGATACGAAATTGCTGATATTCTAATTTTGACTCTCCAAAATGGCCATCTCTAGTTCAATCTAATATTATTCCTTTAGTGGTTACTTTTATAAATAATAACAATTTGACATTATTGAATCAGTATCACATTCGCTAGCGCATCAATGGTCCACATCTGAGTAGCTTGAGCTAGAATTTTGCTTGGTTGAAATGTCAATGATATTCACAGTACAGGCATTCCAATTACGTGACGGCCCTGGACTTTATTTTATGTATTTTGTAATTTCTTTCATTCTCATTTCCCTCAGATATCCAATGTAAACACATTTGTAGTTTTTCTAACATTTTTCCTGGTCGTACACTCATGAGCAAAAATGTACAAATACATATATAGAGAGATTTTTTTTAACCAAACTGAGATCATACTTGCATTTTTTTAACTTAATATATTATGAAACCACCTGGCCCGGCATTTAAACTTGGACATTGAAATCCATTTGTGGATTGGAGGTGGTGGGCAGGAGTGGAATTCTCCACTTGGAAGCTTGTTCTTTCCTCAATAAAGCTGTGTAGTTTAGGATCAAGCGGCTTTAAAGCCAAAGACATCCTGAGTATTTAACTAACTACTAAATATATGTGAGGTAAAGACACTGATTTGCACAGTGAAAAATTAAAATTATTTAAACACTCTCCATCCCCTTTCCACTTCTGCTCCAAGACCCATAAATATTATAAATAAAAAAACAAGGAACCTCCAACTAACCAACCAACAATCAAACCAACCAACCAACCAACCGGTCACCAAAAGGTATGGATATATTTCAGGGTCTGGAGACACTGCGGTTGAAATCATGACAGACATTTATTATAAAGAGACCCACCTCAGTTGAGGCTGAAATATCACACTCCCAATAAATTTCTGGAGTATGTTTATACCTGTGGGTGCATGTTAATCTTAATTGGACCTAGATGTTTAAAAATATATATTAGAAGGGTCTTTGCTAATTGGATTAAAGGAAGGTTTAAGGTCTCTTTCAAAACTAATATTCTGTGATTCTGTTTGCAACATTTGGCAAAGAAGCAAATTAATAAAGATTCAGTTTCTTGCAAATCCCTCTTCCTGACCCACTGTGCCCCCACTGCCCGACAGTTTTTAGGTAAAAACAACAATAGCATCTATGAGCTATCTTAATTAAATATTATATTCCTTTAGTTCATGAGATACAAAAACTTAAATAGCTGTTAACACTTGCAGTTACTCAACACATTTTTGGCAAGTGACTGTTGTTTTTAATTAGATTTTTAAAATGTTTTCTACAAGATATCAGTTTCCTTTGGCTTTTTTATTTTTAGAACAAAAACAGTCAGAAGGGGTAGGCGCTATTCTAGAGGCAAGAAAAATAAGAACTCGTGGGGCATTAGAAAGGTATTTACAGCTCCTCTCATCATCCAAACAAGATAATTCTGGAGAGAGATAAAGGTCAGATAAAGCCGGTCAAGTGTGACATTCTGTGAGTTAGCGATATTATACCTGCAGCCAATAGGTTTGGAGAACTCTGAACTCTCTTCACAGATGTTAATGTAACAGACATGGCGGCACGTTTGCGAGCACACCCACCGCTATCTGGAAGCAAAAAAATGACATAGCAGAGGCCACAGCAAAGGAGAAAGCACATGCATTATCATGCATTTTAAGTGAAATGTGCCAGACATCCATGAGAAAGATGAACAGTCAGAATTAGTAACGGTGGAATACATCTGCAAGTTTCACACCCACCCCAAACTAAAACAAACAAAACGAAACAAAAAACCAGGGGTCTGTTTTAGAAATAGATGCCAATGCTTTAGTAAAAAATCAGATTTTATACTTAACATTTTATGATTTTTTGTGAATGAAAACACAAGTGTAGAATTCAACTTTGTTCATACCATTTAAATTCAACTATTAAATTTATAAGCAATGTAACTAGCTTTTAGAGTTATGGGTAACTTACATTTCAGGATTAAGAGCTATGGTATAATATACTTTTGTATCCATCATTTAGGTTTTACTGTATTCTGGCTATTATGATTCCTGAAGATAGCTTGAAGCACCACTTGAAGTAAAAGTTATTAACTAATATAAGCGTGATATATTTCATATATAGGATTCATAAAGAAACACACAGCATTATGGAAATTCTATGTCTTCCCATAGCTATTAGTTACGGAAATAATTATCCTAATTGAAATCAAAGACAATATTGATATGTACAGTATTGAAATGACCAAGTTTAAAAAAATTAGTTTTTATACTTTTAAACAATATGGATGTGATGATCTAGATATTTACACTTATGCAAATCACAACACGAAGCAAAATAAGTGAAAATGCATCAGCTATTTTAATGTGATAGGAGAAGTTTAGAGTAATAAAACTTCTAAAATTGGATGGTTAATGTTCTATTTACGAACAGATTCCAATTCCATTCCCACATTCCTTTGTGTATGGAATGTGCAATAAATAGTTTTGCTCATTCCCCTGGAACCAAAACAACTTAAATTTAATCCTTTTTGAAAGTCATAACAAGAAAGACAAATAATATAACCACTAATATGATAACATAATCATTATATATTGCCACATGTTATTATTTTTTTCTTTTTCTTTATTTCTTAAGGAAAAGTATCCACTTTGTTTATTGGACGTGAGGGAATTTAAGAGTGGTTGGAAGTTTAATTTGAATTAAGTATTGGTAAAATCACAAGCAGAATAGTTCTCATATCAAAATATAATTTCTTAAATATATGTTTAAAATAGCAATTTCCTGATGCAGATAATAACTAAAACAGAAAAATGAAACAACATAAGAAAGTAAGTCAAATAATCAAAGACTATAAATCAGAGATCAAATATACAAAGACATAAATGGTAGAAACATACAACTAAAGATATCCTCAAGAGGGGTACCAGTAGGATTTTAGCAAACTCTGCAAACTGAAAATAGCATCAAGGGATGAGTGTTTCTGATAAAATGGAGGTAATGTTGTTGGATATGCCCTATATAGTAGCTATTGATGGTCTAAAAGGGTTGTGTAGTCAAGGGTGTTGAAAGTGTATACTGGTGGCTCTCTAAGAGATTTTATTTTCTAGTTCTTTTAATTCTGCACATGTGAAAACAAGAACAGAGACAAAAAGGGAAAATTTCAGAATGAGGAGATCCAGCAACACTGGTTAAACCCATGGTTCCCAAACTATGTGCTGAGGCGCCCCAGGCTACCTCAGTGGATTCACAAAGGTTTGGGGGGAAAGTTCACATTTTTGAGGAAAACACAGTGATATCTATCAGACACTGCGTGAAGTACTAGCCTGAGGTAGTTCCCAATTTCAACATAATAGATTATACTATCTTCCTTTAAATGATGTCACGTCTTTAAAAAGCTGAGTTTTTGGTGATTGCTGTAACAAAAAGCCAGTACCCTGTGAAAACAATTTTGGATCAGTAAATGGGGGTGGTGATGTACAATCTACTTCCAAGTTCTGAGACGTTTTGCAGTGCCCAATAAGCACACACATTCCCGTAGTAAGTAACTGTGGTTATAATGAATGAAATAAAGCGATTATTTTTTCAGTTTAAGTGTATTATTTTTTCAAATTGCTTCTGAGTTGATGGAACATAAATACTTGTTAAGTTGTTTGCACCTAACTACTTAATAAATAGAACTGTTAGGTATTTCTTTTGGCTTGAGAGCATGGTGAAAATTTACTAAGATATCTTGGCACTGTAAACCAAGAAAGTGTGGGAACCTCTGGGTTAAATAATTTCTGTATTCTAAGTCACTCTAAGACTTTGATAAAATGAATAGAGAATCTGCCTTTATTAAAATTTAATGAAAAGCTTAATTTGAAAAGTTGAGGCATTCGTGAACTTGCTGGAACAGAGAAATCTATTATATTCTGTTTCTACTTATTTACGTGTTGATACTTTCTGCTATTTCTTGAAGATATTTTTAAGATCTCAAAATGAGGATGCTATCTTGCATACTTTAGGTCATCCTGAAGAATCCTAATGCTACTCTCACCTGCACACTCTTTAATGACCTGCACACTCTTCCACTCAGCTGCAAGACTCGTGGAAGCTGTTTCTGCGGCTGGAAAACATTCATATGGGTAAATCACATTCAATGAATTATTCTGTGTCTTTCTCTCTTTATTCTCTTCCACAGCTAAAATCGCCTTAGAAAATAATGGGTCACAAATTCTAAGAGTGGAAATATTGCATGTCTGTATTTTAGATATTTTAGGATGAAAAATGAATCACATTTCCCTTGGCTTATTTATTATGTATTTGACTAAAAACAAAAAGCTGATGTAAAGTAATCTTTTTTAACCTTAGTGACTGACACATGGACATTCAAACAGTGATATATATCCTTAATGATTGGCCGGTAGATAATGAAAACCAATTTTATTTATTAGATACTTAGGAACTAATTTCTACTTCATTTTGTAGATATAAGACAATGCTGTCTTCAACTTCCTACAGCAATATTTATATATATATTTTTAAACAGTATGTTTTTATAGCAACATTATAGTATTACATTGGAATTTTAAACAGTGTTCCAGTCACTTCTAATCAATTTTGTATGTGTAAATCTGAATATCATATTTTATATGCATATATATGTGTAAATTCACCCATACAAGCCAAATAACTATGCCAATTACTATTCTATATAGAGCCAACCTCATTCCTTTAAATGAGAGGATGCTTTAGAGGGTTATATTCATGCTGCTAGAGCAGTAACTTGGCTCAAGTACCCCAGAGACCTACCTAAACAAATTTACAAATTTCTATTTGCCTACTTAGCCATTAGGGATTCAATTCTATGACTAGAAAGATTAATTATTGAATGCATTGTACATGAATATGATATATTTAGTATAATCACATATTTTACCTCTGTCATAATAGGGTTATAATAAATAGGAAAATCAGCACTCCACAAAATGCAGGATATTGGGAAGTTATGTTCAACTTGAGTTGAGAAGATGCCTCAGAACAATTAGTCAATATAACTTCCACATGTGGACATTCTCCTGGAAGGACTGCAGTTTCACAACATGACTTGTCCTCGTTCGGCTGCGGGCTCTCTATTCTATTTGCTTTCTCCAATCTCCTTTGCCTAATAATATTTCTTCTTTCATTTTCCATATCTGACTCTCACATCTCCATTGTTCAAATGCCTTTACTTGGTTCATTTCCAGGGTTATAACTTCTCTTGATTTCTAAGCCTTCCTTGTATCTTTTGATTGTCTCCAATAACCTTGCCTTGTCTGTTGCTCTACACACCTACAAGTTGACTGCATTGCCAGGGGCCAGCTGACCTAGAGTTCTCTGAGGTCAGTTAGAGCAGGCTTCTGCTAAGGGGCAGCCGCAGAATCACGGGGAGCGGGGCATGTCTCTACACTTGATCTCGGGATTAGATACTGGTTCTTAACTAGTGGTTGCCAACCCTCCTTCGAGGCACTTTGATAACAAGAGACAGCAAAAAGACAACCAGCTTGATGTGAGAAAATATCTTGGACCATCCTCTCTCCTTTGCCATGGGGTGACTGGCTAACACGACTTCCCAGTGATCGCTTGTGGATAGGAAACAGTATTCTTTAAACACGTTACAAAATTTCAGTGATAAAGTTGTTGTCCAGAATTATTCAATACTGAATACAAAAATTTCAGGGGGGAAAAAGGTGAAAAAATGAGCTAAAACATTTCTACTATGGAAAAAAATTTCATATGTACATAGCATGTATCACAAACACTTTTATTATTCATCTGTATACAGTTCAGAATTCAGAGACATCAGTGTCAAGCTATTTGGAGATATTGTTCTCACATCTAAAAATATAATGCTTATAACTTTATGTGTATTGTGTCTATGAATTAATTAAGCTGATTTTGTATGAAGCTCTGGCACTCAATCTGCTGACTTTGTCAACATAAAGTATTTACAGAATGGGGAATTTTACTATTTTCTACTAGAGCAACTTGCCTATGAATTTAGCCTATTTTAAGTGAGACATTTCAAATGTATACATCAAATGACATGCTACGTCTTCCTAGGGTTTATAGGAGTTAATTTCAAGATATGATTACAGAAAAAAGGAGTAAGAGTAGACAGCAAAACAGACAACTCTACTTTTGATAGCTATAAGATTGGAGCACAAAGACAAAGAAATCAAGTAATGAATTTAGGCTATCTAATCAGAAACTCAGCATCACATTTAGGATCAGCAGAGGGCTAAACTAATGATTTAGGGCCAAGATGATTTTTAGAGAGCAAGGCTAAAGAGTTTAAAACTAATGGAGACAGCATACCTGTATTCATTTTGACCTTGGAGGGTTTGTTATTAAAGTCTTCAGTTTTCCTGTAGAAAAAAAATGATGTATTAATTTGTTCACTAGTATGTGGAACAAAATATCACGAAAGTGTGTTTTTGTTTTTGTCTTGTTTTTGGTGTACCTGTGAGTTAATATCACATTATCATTAGTCTTATTTATTTATTTATTTTTTTGTGAGGAAGATCGGCCCTGAGCTAACATCTGCCAACCCTCCTCTTTTTGCCGAGGAAGACTTGGCCCTAGGCTAACATCCATGCCCATCTTCCTCTACTTTATATGGGACGCCGCCACAGCATAGCTTGCCAAGCGGTGTGTTGGTGCTCGCCCACGATCCGAACCAGCGAACCCCGGGCCGCCGCAGCGGAGTGCTCACACTTAACCGCTTGCCCCCCCATGCCGGCCCCTCATTAGTCTTATTTAAATCAAGGTTTAATGAAGTGGGCAGAATTTATAATTCTATTCAAGTTAAATTTCAATTATCATTGGGCCTATGATCATAAACAAAAACTTAACGTTTTTGTTTAATGGTGACCATTAATGGATGAAAATGGAGAGGAGTTTTCACTGTTAAAAACTAAATTTCTTTCACAAACATTCAAACTAACAGTTTTCGTTCTCTAAGACTGAAAGGATCGTTAGTTGTTAAGTGTCCTCTTTCAGAATTTTAAATGGTACCCTGGTACTTTGAAATTATTACCTTACATTATTCAATTTATTTTATTTGAAATCAGTACATTATTCAATTTATGTTACATTACTCAATTTATTATATTCAATTTATTACTGGATCAATTTATTACTGGGGAACATTTAATGTATTTAATGTGTATTTCAAGGAAGATGAGATTCACCTATTTTTTTTAAGACGCAGGAAATAAATGGTTACTACAAAACCTATTTCTATTTCAGTATCAGATACTGTGCTTTTTCCCAATGAAGTGTTTGACGTATGACAATTGAGATTAATTCATTAGAAATGGCTGGTGGATGGTGCTTCTTGTAGAAAAAAGTTTTTTTAATATTGTGTGTTATTTTATGACGTGAGATGACTTAGTTCTTTCCCTGGTATTCCCTTAGCCCATTTTTAGAGTTTCTTATTTACCTCTACCCTAAGACCAAAGACGAAGGACATGCTCCCACAAGAAACAAACCTTCTAAGAGTGAGAGCGCTCTGGAAGAGATGCTTTACCCCAGCCCTTTGGTCTTTGCTCCTGGGTAGGGCCTATTGTTAGATGAATGTGAACTTCACCAATACAACATATTCAGTTTCCATGTATGTGAGCACTCTAATAGCTGATAATTTTAAAAATTTTGTTTATACTTTATGGACCAGTAGGGATAGGGTTGAAATGAAATCATCTGCCATGATCTGTCAAGAAAGACTTTTTTGATAAACACATTTTTCTGCAGTCTGTTAAAAGAGCACCAAATGATCTTCCTGCTTTTTTGTCTTATTCTGCCAGGGTTTTTGCCGTCTCCTCCTTTCTGACCATCTCTCCTGTCCTCATGTGTTCTGCTCTATTCATCATCCATCGCTTTCTTTCAATACGGCCATTGAAGTTCATCTCTTAGAGAAAGGCTAGTTTTGCTCATTATATCCGTGAAATTCCGATAATAAAATCAAAATGTGAACACTAGCTAAATATAATGATACCTATCTTCTCTCCCAGCCTGGGGGGATAAATAGTGAAATAAAATAGCATGAAAATAAATTCACTTAAATGATATGAGATGTAATCATGAGCCAAGAGGAGAAAAAAATATTTTAATGCCTAGATTGAATTAGTAATAGCTTGGTACTCAATAAGTACTAAAGCAATGAATATATAGAATGAATAAAATCACAGTACTGATATTCACCCCAATTTATTTTGTGGAGCTATAAACTGGAAACAATACAGATGATGTCCTTGTTATGTAGTGTTTTTGGAACATCTGATTGTGTTCAACGTCATGTTCGTGGCTCTCCTCCCTGGAACAATACTGCAGTGTAGAAGAAGAAGGGCAGGCACAATGCTTAGAGCTGCCATGCCCACTACTGGAAGAGTTACCACAATATTACAGCGGATTTTACAGTAAAATTTCACAGGCCAATTGACTTCCAAAAGTGATTGAGGGAAACTTGGTTATGATGAATCTTATCTCTTATTTTTTAGTGTATACAACTAAAGAGGCACATTTCTACACACACGTCTTTAGAATACGCAGAAAAATGAGGTGCATTGCTGAGAAACTCTACTGAAGAGATGCCAAGGAAGCCAGGGAAGAAGGCAGTAGTCGGTGCAGGAGCCTTGAGAAAGCTCCATCAAACATACTTATTTTAATCTCTCAGGAGCAAAACTCGTAATAGGTTATCCTTAAATGGACAAAATAAATGGAAAAGAAAAGCCTCAAGGGAGGTCTGTGACCAAGAGGCAAATGCTAAAACAAGAAGGAATAAACAGACTGCAGAAAACCAGGACTGTGAGGACATTCCCCAAATTCTACTTGATCGCTGTTCTTCAGAACACTCTGTATTTAAAACTGTTTTAAGTTTTAAAACTGAATGACCAAGACAGTGTTTGGGCTGGAACAATACTGCTTGATTAAGAAAACATCAAACAGAAGGAAGGTTAACTCTCACAACACAAAACTTGCCAATATAAAATAATGATGTTTCTATACCAAGTTAGAGGACTTATTATCAGCATTTGTTGTTTGAATTCAAACGCAGATGTTTACAAAATATCTGACACTCAAAAAGGAAAATAGGATTCACAGGAACAAAGAAAGGCGCCACAAATCCTTGAGCTTTTCATCTTTAAAGTGATGTATCCTGTTACTTATAAGTGTGATTTGTGAGGTTTTTAAATTTTGCATTGTTTTAGGTGTCAAAATGTGAAATGACTAACTTCCTAATCAGGCAAGACATTTTTCAAGCTGTTAAAAGAAGAGCCACAGTGATTGAGTTCTCCAGAAGAACCTGAAACCAAAAGGCTTCTTGGGTGACTAATAAAAATGCATGATTCTATTTCCATTATTTGTATGAAAGCCATTAACGAATCCACAACTGAGAACTCTCTTTAGACAATTTAAACTAAAGTGAATCTAATCTCTTTTGTTCTGTCCTGAAAAAGTGTCTTTGATTGTGCTTACATAACAAGCACAGATTATTCTGGAGAGCATCAAATTCCTAGAGTGTTTCCATGCACTAAAAGAGACAATACTTCAAGTAGTCTCTTAAATTGAAATTGAACGAGGGCCAAGACTATGAAAATTGACCGTAAATGCAGACTACCTTGAACTTCAGCAGATAATCCACAGAGCAAGGAACTGTCTGTGCATTAGAGTGCCAAAATGATTTTCAACAGGTGGTGTGGAGCTGTATTTACTTAAGTTCAGTTCTTGCCAAAGTTTTATATAAAAAGCAACTTTATATGTGTCCTAATTTGTGTATAGCAATGGGCTTGTTTTTCTTATGGGTCGGAGTAGCCTTCTTTCCTAATATGCATATGGCAATAGACTGCGTTGGCTGTTCATTCATGGACAACAACATCACTTTGTGTCTATAGTCTTTTAATTCTGCTTGAATTTCTTTCAATTATCAGACATCCCATTTTCTTTTTTATGGATCAGAGCAGCCTTTATTCCCAACATCCATATGACAATAGATTGGGCAATTTAACTTTTGAATGAAAGTCCTAAGAAGATGTTAGATTATTTTTTCATAGGCACCAACATGACTTTGTGCCTATAATCTTGTAATTCTGCTGGAATTCTTTTATCAGGCTTCCCCTTCTGAAGAGGAGCAGAGGCAAAATCCTTTCCTCAATTTTGGCCAAGAATTCTCTGCAAGTCATTTTATTTTTGTAGACTTGAATTTAAGCACCAAGGCCATCTATAAAATTATAGGACAAATTTTTAACTCAGTTAATATGAGGAGCTGCCCAAAAGACTTTTCCATGGAATAATTTTAATCCAGTAAATTGCTAGAGTTATTTTGAAATTAATCAATTCACAGTTCATATATTATTCAGAAGAAAGGACACAGAGACAGTCTAAAGGGCAGGAAAACATTGAGGGATGTTAGACTTGGTTAGATATATTTTAAATGCAAGAATAAAAATATGATGCATATTAAGGTTATGCACCAGATTTTAACCTGAATTTGCTTTGAAATGGGATCTTCATACCACTCTTTCTGGATAAACTACCCTTACTAGTCAATGCATCTCTCTCTCTCTCTGTCTCTCTCCCAGTCTCTCTCTTTCTGTCTCTGACTGTGGTAGGATTAGAAGTATTCATATATGCCAAAGGATATCACTGTTCAATTATAGTCAAATGACTTAATTTAGGTTGTTGACATTTATCTTTATCTTTTCTAATGTATCAATATGCTGCTTTGAAATTTTCAAGGGAAATACTCCAAGTAGTTTATTGTGTCCTTTACAGTCCCTGAGTTTAGAAACATAAGGATCCACCTGAACCCCTTTTCTGAATGGTTTCTCTGAAATGACAGCCAGTATATGATGCCAACTCAGAGACTCCTTTGCCTCTGAGTGGGTGGTACCAATCATCACAGCCAATAGTGAGGGCATGGTTGACCACGCTCAGGCTCCATATAAGGACTCTAACTTCCTCCCAACATCCCTGAGCTAATGGTGACTGAAGATGGGTCCTTAGTATCCAGAAGCCAAACTACTCACAGTATTTATACATGAATGCTAGGCCAGAGCACAGTCAACATCACTTCTAGGAATAAGGAGAAATCGTTACCATGAATAGTGAAGAACAAAAGAACACAAGGCCATTGATTATTCTCATAAGAATATACAAAGTGTTCTTTTGAATTATACCAAATTTCCTGATACCTGGAAAATTTTCCTGAAAAAGAGCACCATATGTTTTTCAAGGAAACTAGCAATTTTCCTTTTGAGATTTTACAATGCAAGCTAGTCAAAATACTTACAGATTTTTCCTAAAGACTATACTGGTTAGAAGAAGTCATTCGCCTGGTAGATAATTCTCTTTCTGATGCTATTCCAAA